CTGCAACTCAAGCAAGTTTTCCTGCCTGCACCGCGACCATCTACGGTGTAAGTAAAATAATCTTTAATCAACCGCTACGCGTCCGTGCCTAATTCTAGTCCACCGGCCTACATTCCCCGACCCGCATGCCAGGGCTGCTGGCCACAGCCCGCCGCGCGCCCCCAAGGGCCTCGGACCGCTCCCGGCCCGCACAACCCCCACCTACCAGACACCGACAATGAGCAGGCAGGTGAGCCATAGTTTGTTCTATATGTACATTGGCATAACATAACTTCATCAGAATGTATGGGAAATGTAGTCCTTATACAGAAAGAAAAAATGGAGAAGCCAGCCAATATCTGCCCAACTCTCATGCACACTTTGGTGTACTACCCCCTTTGATCTTTTATGTGCTTCCCCTCCCCCCCCCCCCCCCCCTCGCCAACACACACACCTAGTGCTGTGCTCGAAAATGCAAAAGGCACTGAGACCCACCAGGCAGTAGGAAAGAGGGAAGGCTTTCGTCCACCACCCCGGGTGCTAAGACCCACCATGCAGTAGAGAAGAGGGCCATTGTCGAGATGGAATGCTTATTTATAGCAACAGTCACTTCATCAGAATATATGAAAAAGTAGGACCTCAACTAGCCAAAGGTGCTGAGGCCCACCAGGCAGTAGGAAAGAGGGGGGGCCATCACCCACCACCCTGGGTGCTGAGACCCACCAAGCAGTAGGAAAGAGGGAGGGCTGTCACCCAGAACTGGTGGGCCAGATCTGCCTCACAGGCCATATTTTGCCCACTCCTGGTATAGGAGCTTGTAAGAAATATTGTGATCTCACCCACTCAGTCTCAGTAGAAATGCTTTTAGGATGATAGGTTAAGGGCCTTTGTCAAATATTTTCCAGCAGTGCTGGAAATTTTAAATATGCAACTTCTCTGTGCTACTGGCTGAAAAATGGTAAGGGCAACCAACTGCATAGATTAAATTGAATATGTGAATAATAGGGAAGCTAGTCCCCGGGTCCAATAGTGAAAATCATACATTCAGTTTGGTTTATAGAAGAAGTTTTAATTTGACAGATGGGAAAATCTATTATAGTCAACAGAACCACCTGCTGCCAGATGAGAATATATTCCACTGCAATAAGAAACTTGTATGGAAGTAATGGGGAAAGTATTTGTCATTTTGTTTATTTTGCAAAACCTGTGTCTGGTAAAATACCTTGTTATTGATGAGGCAAAACTTATGTTTTGAAACACATAACTGCAGCACTGTAAGGTGCAATCAGCCTCTCCCATATTCTGTGTATTCAGCAATCACTTACTCAAGAAAAAGAAATCCTGTGCTTAACTTCTGAGTTGATTCTTACAATCCTCTGGGTGCATTTTCTCTATAGCTTCCAGGGGCAAGGACTGCATGTGAATTAGTTCACTACTCACTTCCCAGAGTTAGGCTTGAAAAACAGGTGATGTTCTAATTAAGCCCCATCAACAGCTAACTACCCCTTCACCCATGGGCAGCTGGAGATTTTATTAAAATGACAGGAAAAGAACAGTTTATATAAATTGCCATTGGAATTAACACTCCCCTCAGATAAATGGGAACAATTGATAGCCAGTCCTTTCATACTAGCAGTTTGTTCTCCATCCAGTTTGCTGACTGTAAACCATTGAAAAAAATTACAGGTCAGGTCCTAAAAAACATGTAAATGTCATATTAAAGCATGAAAAGGTAAAATATTAGAAGTAAGTCCTGACCTTTCTTTCATTTGCCTTTAAGTTTCATTTTTTCAACTCTATTTCTGGGACTAGAAACAGGTTTTATGTAAAGGTCTTTGCATTCTTTCAGTCATTTGATTCTTACTATAAATAAGTGGTAGGGATTTAAGTAAATATCAACAGACTGGCAATAAAATTATATCAGTTGCTAACAGTGAGCCTCCACTGTGAGTCAGACAGCACTGTGATGAATTACATTCAGGTTTTGCTTTCAGCCAAAACTGCTATAAACTTTGTTCTGTTTTGTTTTGTTTTTAAATTTGAAAGCCCCTCTTCTGCAGAAATGCATGGGGTATTCTAGTCATTATCAGCTCAATCCCTTTTCTGGTGTCACTTGCCCATTTCCACTTAGAAAATTACCTAGAGCAATTTGAAAATTAAATGTTAGATTACAAAATTTAATTTAATTTATGCATACCCTATGGCCTTAGAAGGAAGAACCAAGCAAGTTGCATAAGGACTAATAATAGGAAAAGTTTAGCTGGCAGTGGTTGCTAAGTGAAATTGTAGCATAATCAAAACCATGGCGATCTGAACCGGTGCCTCCTACAAATAGGGCACTACAGCACATGTAAAGTCAGCAGAAAAATCTGAGTAGTATCAGCTGAGATAGTATAACACTGAGTCATGCAAATGTAACACTTTTTAAAGATTTTAGTGAAATGCAGTATTGAATGAGGACATTTATATCAATGAAGTGGGGGCTGGCAGCACTTTGTTCAGGGGTGGGCAAAATGCAGCCCACGTGCCGAATCCGGCCCGCAAGGCCATTCTATCTGGCCTGCAGGGCCCCTAAAAAATTTAGAAAATTAATGCTTATCTGCCCTTGGTTCCTGTCAAAAATGACAGGAGCCAGGGCAGTAGGACCCAGGGGAAGCCCCAGTGGGCTCCTGCAACAGCAGGGCCTGCCCAGCCCCACCCCTCCAGCTGGAAGTCCTAGCAGGGGCTTCTGCCTGGGACCATGTAGGTGCACTGACACCAGAAACTCAGGTAAGGGCAGGGGGCGGAACGGCAGGGAAGGAGCTGGTGCTGAGTGCAGGGAAAAGCAGCCCCTCCCTGCCCCGTGGTCAGCGCTCCCTGCTGCAGCCACTTGCAGCCCATGCAGGGCTGTCCTGAGCAGACACAGGCAGCCCCACATAGACTGCAAGCAGCTGCAGCATGGGGCGCCGGCCATGGGGTGGGGGAGGGGCCACTTTTCCCTGTGTTCAGCACCAGCTCCTTCCCTGCCAGCGAGTAAGGGGTCGGGGCTGTGCACTGCCCTCTGCCTGTACCACAGGGCTGGGGTGGTGGGGGAGGGCACTGGGTGTTAGTGAGCACAGGAGCCAGCGGAAGCACAGGGCCCACACTGGTGTCCTGGGGCCACTGCCAGCGGGGCCCAGAGCAGGGCAGCAGGAGTACAGGGTCCCAGCTGGCAGGGGCTCTATGGAGCCAGGCCAGCTCCTCCCTCTCCCTGCTGGTGCAGC